AAAAAAAAAAAAAAAAGAAGTAGAGTGCGGGCCCCATATACCAGAGGTGGCGGGTTCAAACCCCATCCCTTGCTTAAATATACATAAATACTTCTAGAAGGTCATGATAATGATGAATTGTAAGCTAGTGGCTAGGGACAGGGGTAAGAGGGAGACTTTTCATATCTTTTTTGTATTTTATTTATTTTTCTTTCATAACTATGACCAAAGCTTATAACATATCTCTTTTACATTTAAAAAAATATGTATGGTAGGGCAAGGGTTACCGATTTAAAAATGCATAAATCAAATTTAAAGTTTCAGTTTCTCAGTTCACATTCCCTAGCTCTTGGCCTCTCTTTGGCTTGTAGCCTGCTGCTGCTGGCAGCAAACATTTTATCAGAGGCCCTAGCTTTTCAAAGCCCCCAGCAGCTGTGGGTGGAAAGCTGGCTTTCCTCAGGGCACTGGGGTCAGGGGTCAGGGGCTTCTGCTGAATGGGAGCTCACACTCACCCTCCTCTACCACTACCCTGTATTCCTCCAAGAGAGCTGGAAAACTTGAAGCTAGGAATTCACTTTGTATCCCTATCCCACAACATGTGGTCCATGAGATGCCCTCCAGGCAGGTGCAAACCAGAATTGGAAGGTGCCTCTCACCCTCCTTTGGGTCTCATGGGGAACATGGGTGTGAACAGCTGATACCAAGAGAGGCATCCCCACCCCTTGTCTGGCTCCCTATTTCATCCAAGAAACCCTCCCAGTCACAGGAAGGAGTCAGAGCAAGGCAGAGCTCTGCTTGAGGTGGACAAAGGGATAATGTGACATATATGAGAGTCACTGAGTGTATTCACAGAGGGGGTGCAGGGGATCTACCCACCCCCTCATCCTTTCATTCATTTAGCAAGTATTTACTGCCAGCTACTAGTTGCAGGGAATTTCTTGTTCAAACACTTGCCTTAAATGTCAGAAGAATGACAGTAGGGTCTTCCCACCCTCTGCAGTTGGGCCCTGGCTGTGCCCCCCAGCCCTCCAAGGCACCTCCCTTCCTGCCTCCTTGGCTTCATCTACCCCTGCTCAAGAGCAGCGGTGGTCAGTGCCTAGGGCAACAGGGGGACCCCTGGACCTGGGGTCCCAACCCTGTGAGAGGCAAACAGGGGACAGTGACAACATAAAGCATAAGGTCAGTGACATGCCCTCAATATGTGGGCTCTAGCAAGGAGGATGCCCCCTCCCTGGGCAGTGGTCCCTATCCTGGTAGTGACCCCAGGACCTGGCACCAAGAGGGCCCTCCAGGAGTATCTGCTGTATGGATACATGCTAATCTTCTATATATCTATGCCCTTTCTGCCCATGTCTTCCATATACCATAGCATATATCTATGGATACATGTTAGTGTCTAATTGGACCTGATGACCATGGTATGATCTGATGTTCCTACCCTGACACCTAAGCAGGAGGAGGGAGGCAGGGAGGCAGCCACAGGCCTGGGAAGGGTTACAGGTCATACATGGCAGTCTATCTCCATAAGCAGCAGCCTCCCTGGGGCTGGATGGACACTTGTGGCTGGCCCCTCCTGGGTGAGAGTATATATGGGACAGAGGTGTCCAGATGCAAGTCCTTTTGTTCAGCCCCTCCACCTGCATGAGTCATTGGCATGCCAAACTATAATGGAGCCCTCAAACTGCAAAAGTGAGGGTTAGTTCTAAGCAAGAGAGCCCAGGAAAGTACAGTGCCCTTGAGATGGCATTTAGGGTCCACTGGCCTCCAGTTACCCCTACCTGGGTTCCCCAAAATAGCAGTAGCCTCACCCTTCCATGGTGCATCACAGCACCTGGTAGCTCCAGAAAAGTATGCTAGAAGGAGAGAGGGAAGGAGGGAGTTGAGGCAGTGGGCTCAATTCCCCCCACCCAGAGGGACCAGAGGAGTAAACCAAACCAATATAGTTTAATTAATACCAATATAGTTCTCTTTTTAAATACCTTGTTCCCCTGGACAGAGTGCTGGGGCGGGCTCTTGGCAGAATGAGTGGAAAGGAAATATGGAACAAAATGGAATGGAAGGCCCAGGGCCCCCTGCCTTGGGGCACTAAGGACTGGGTTGCCCCTGCAGGAGGGGGAGGTGACCCCAGCTTCTTCTGATCCAGTTACTGCAGAAGTAAGGGGTGGCCTCCCCTCCCTCCCCAGCCCCTAAATACTTCTTAGGATTATTTCTGCCCATCAGCTCCAGCAGGGCCAGAGCTCCTCTATCTGGGAGGGGCTCCATTGCCCACAGGGCCTACAGCTAAGGCAAGGGGGTAGGGTAGGGTGCACTGGCCAGGCCTGACACTTAGTAACTGCTCTGATGGCCTGTGAGGATATAGAGGTTGCTGTGGGCGCCCGGGTTGTCAGTGGGAATGCTCTCCAGGATGATGTCTCTGGAGGGGAAAGAGAAGCAGAGGTGAGTGGGGCAGGGAGGTGCTAGGACACATCCATTCCTCCTCTGGGGAGGTTGGGATGTCACTGCCCACCTGTGGGCCCCAAGGACACGGAAGATCCTCGTCTCATCTGTGATCTCCTGGGTCACCTGGGAAGAGAAAAGAGCACTGAGAGGCAAAGACTATTGAGCAGGGACAGCCTGGTCCCAGAACCCCACGTACCTCGTTGGTGTCTAGGCTGCGGCCTTGCATCCCATGGCTCCAGAAGGCCAGCACACTGTCCTGAAGACACACTAGGGAAGCCAGGCTGCCATCACTTCCATATCTGCCCTGAGGAGGCTGGTACCCCCCCCCTCCCCGAGCCACATCTGGGCCCAAGTCTGGGCCACAAAGGTCCTCACCAACCAGGCTGGCTTTCCATAGGGGCTGAGGACCTGCTTCCTTGTCCCACCACCAGCCCCATTCCCCTGAGCCTCTTCATGTGCTCCAGGCCAGAGTCTTGCATCCCAACTCTGCTCACTCACCCACAGTCTCAATGGGGAAGTCAAAGGTCAACTCAGGTGCCAGCATGGCTGTGGGCTCACCCTGCATGTTGACAATCCTCACGCAGCCTGCACGGGGAGAAGGCTGGTAGGTAGGGACAGGTGGCCCCCTCTGGGGAGGTACACCCACCAGGCTTCCCTCACCCCCACACTCTGCTCTTGCTTAGCCTTGACCCCAGGGTACTCACGTTCAAAGCTGACAAGGACTGTGTCCCTGTCTACCTGGATCACCTGCTGGGCTGAGCCTGAGATCCCCTCTGGAAGCAGAGAAGGGAGATGCGGCCTGGCTGAGCCACCAGCACACTCAGGCACAAGAGAACATAAACACAGGTGATATACTAGAGCCAGCCCTTGGCCACAAGCATACCCATAGTGGCCGAGTAGAGTTAGAATCCTAATTTCATTCCACAGCTAGGACCCAGGCACTCTGAGCCCCAGTCTCCACATTCATAAAGCAGGCATGACAATGCCCATCTTGCAGGGATGTTGTGAGGCTCAAGAATGAAAACCCAGGCTCGGTGCCTGTGGCTCAAGCGGCTAAGGCGGCAGCCACGTATACCTGAGCTGGCAAGGTTCGAATCCAGCCCAGGCTTGCCAAACAACAATGATGGCTGCAAACAAAAAATAGCCGGGTGTTGTGGCAGGTGCCTGTAGTCCCAGTTACTTGGGAGGTGGAGGCAGGAGAATCGCTTGAGCCCTGGAGTTGGAGGTTGCTGTGAGCTGTGACGCCACAGCATTTTACCAAGGGCGACAGCTTGAGCCTCTGTCTCAAAAAAAAGAATGAAAAACCAGGGCAGTGCCTGTGACTGAGTAGGGTGCCAGCCCCATATATTAAGGGTGGTGGGTTCAAACCCAGCGCTGGTCAAAGTGCAACAAAAAATAGTCAGGCATTGTGGCGGGCACCTGTAGTCCCAGCTACTCAGGAGGCTGAGGCAAGAGAATCACCTAAGCCCAGGAGTTGGAGTTTGCTGTGAGCTGTGTGACGCCACGGTACTCCACCGAGTGCCATAAAGTAAAACTCTGTCTCTACCAAAAAAGAAAAAAAAAAAGAAAACCTAGCACACAGGCCTCTGTCCATGTACACCCTCCTGTCTCCTTTACCTATCACCACTCCCTAGACCAGGGGTCCTCAAACTTTTTAAACAGGGGGCCGATTCACTGTCCCTCAGACCATTGGAGGGCCGGACCATGAGCCCTGGGATGAGTCGGCTGCTAAGCAGGACAGGCAGTGGCGGCAAAAACACCCAGCAGGCTGGATAAATGTCCTAGTTGGGCCGCATGTGGCCCACGGGCCATAGTTTGAGGATGCCTGCTCCTGGACCCTGAGCTGCACAACCCCCAGCTCCGGCTCCCTTGCTCACAGTGGAGGCCCCTGGCCCCTGCCTTGCCAGGTATGGCTTTTCCCACCAGCCCAGCACTCCTGCTCACCAGCTGGGATGAGGATGTCAGGCATCAGGCCAGCCTCCAGGGGCAGGACATGGAACAGGACTCGACAGCCGGGCCCCTCAGGCCCCTCGGCCCCCACACACACCTGTGGCAGCTCCTTCCCATCCAGCACCAGTGGCTCCATCATCCCAGCTGGGCTGGGCAAGGGACTAGAGAAGTTCTAGGGGGCAGCAAAGATGTTCATGTCTCTACTTCTCCCCACCCCCAGACCTCTGAGGGTGCCCTGGACCTCGCCACCTCACCTTCAGCAGCAGGAACTTCTGCAGGGGCTCATACCACTGCAGCAGGAGCAAGCTGGCAGGCAGGGCAGCCAGCAGGAAGGTGCTGCCTGTGTAGGGGTTCCGCACTGCCAGAGAAGCAGACAAGTGGGCACTGGGCCTGGCCTGCACTGCCACCTCTGCCCAGCCCCCTGGCCCCACTCTTACCCACACGACACTGCAAGCAGCCTTTGGTGTCAGGAATCTTGGTAGACAGAGCAAAGCGCCTATAGAGATGACAATCAAGGCGTGGGGTGGGGTGCCCTCTGTGGGCAAGGCCCCCACAAAGCCCTATGAAATGGGTCCTATCATCTTCCCGCTTTACAGAGAGGCAGAGTAACTTGCCCAAAGAACATTGTGAGGGTGGGGGACCTGATATGGATCCTGCAGCTCTACAATCTGGAGTGTCTCTGTCCAGTCCAGGGGTCTGGAACACAGAATTACCTCTAGCTCTATGATTTTACGCAAGTCATTTAACCTCTCTATCCCTCCATTTCCTCACCTATAGAATGGGGATAATGGTGCTGCCCACCCTAGAGCGTCATAGTGAAGGTTTTGTAAATTAATATGGGGAGAAACTAGAGCTGTGTCCAGCACATTGTGTGCACTCCCAGGGCTGGTTCTTATCAGCTCATAGTACCATTTTATTTTATTTATTTATTTATTTATTTTAGATAGCGTCTCACTCTGTCACCCTGGGTAGAGTGCCATGGCATCATAGCTCACAGCAACCTCAAACCCTTGGATTTGAGTGATCTTTTGCTTCACCCTCTCAAGTAGCTGGGACTATAGGCATCTGCCAAAATGTCTGGCTAGTTTTTCTACTTTTAGTAGAGACAGGGTCTCAATCCTACTTAGGCTGGTCTCGAACTCGTGAGCTCAAGCAATCTACCTGCCTCAGCCTCCCAGAGTGCTAGGATTACAGGCATAACCCACTGCACCTGGCCTCAGCCTGTATTAGTATTTTTCCACCTATTTCGAGTCACTGAAAATCGTTTTCAGCCTAGGGCGGTGCCTGTGGCTCAAAGGAGAAGGGCGCTGCCCCCTCCCGCCCCCCCCCCCCATACCAGAACCTGGTCTGGCCAAAAAAACGAACAAACAAACAAACAAAAAATTCTTTTCAGGCTAGGGCAAGGTAGAAAACAAGAAATGACTGAAGAAACGAGAGCATGCGGGCTCCAGACTGCACAAAGTGCCCATGGCCCATTTCACAGATGGTAAAGCAGGCCCACGGAGGTTAAAGGACTTTAAAGGGCAAAAAGCCTGCCTCTGCCTCTTCATCTGAGGCTACAGCCCTGAGGTGCCTATGGGTGGCCCCCTTGTTGCTTGGGGAGATAGGTGAGGGATGATCATCAGAGGGGTCTTCGTCTTAGTCACTGAGTGTCCCCCAGTTCCCTAGAGGACACTCCGAGCCTGCTTGCTAGGGAAGGGGGTTACACATCAGCAGCCCTGTCATCTCCTCTCAGCAACCCAGGTCCTGCCTGCACCTTCTGCCAGCACATGAACCCTGCCAAGGAAGCCCACATCTGTCTGCCGCGTCCCTTTGCCCTTGTTCTGTCTATGCATTTTCTACAACTGGTCTTTGGCTGGAACAGAGGCATGTATAGTTTGGTATTTGTTTCTTCTTCAGACAATTCCAGTTCTTTGTTTTTATATTCAAAGTTGACAGTGTGACTCTGTCACTTCCCAAACACAGGCCCAAAGTTTCCTGCAACTTGTTGGGGCGCTGATGGGCCTGTTTCCTGCAGGTCCTGGGCCAAAGCACAGGCTTGGGAACTGAGCTCAGGAAGCCCAGAGGCCACAGAGCATCAGATGCAGTCCAGGGAGTGAACATACTGCAGTAAGGGCCTGGGCCCTTCTGATCTGCCTGGCTGGTGCAGTCACCAGCCTAGCCTCCCCAGCCCTCCCAATCCAGTCCACTGGTTCCCACATCCCACCTAGTTATGACAACATCTAAGCCCATAGCCAGGACTCCTCTCCTCTGAGTCCAGCCCCACCCAGTCATGGATGGATGGAGGTCCCAGTTTTGCAACTAATAAGCACCTTAATATGACAAAATTAACTTCAGCTCCCTCTGAAGCCCACTCCACCCATAACTGATGACAGCTGCATCCTTCCTGTGGCCCCAGCCAAACACCCTGGAGTCATCCATCCTTGATTCCTTTCTCTTCCATCTACCACCAACCATTCAGGAAATCCTGTTGCCTCAACGTCCAAACAAAGAATCAGAATCTGACCATTTTCTCCTCCTTCACTGCTACATTGATCCAAGCCACTACCATCTCCAATAGCCTGCTGGTAGGTCTCCCTGTTCCCTCCTCACCCCTTCACTCTGTCCTGGTGAAAATAGTAGTGGCAGTGAGCTCGTGAGGCTCTTCAGTCCATGGCTTCCCTGCTGTAGATTCCTCGCTGCTCCCCAAGCAAGCCCTGCCTGCTCCTGCCTAGGCCTTTGCACTAGCCATCCTCTCTGCTTAGAAGCCCCTTGCCCCAGGTACCCAGAGGGCTCACTCCTCACCTCCTCTAAGTCTTTGCTCAAACAACACTTTCTCAACCAGGCCTTTCCTACCACTCTGTTTGAAACCGCAGCCTGCACCCTACCCTCCTGGCCTTCTTAGCAGAGCACCCCCATCTTGGTGTGTCACACAGAATATCCATTTTTTTTTGAAACAGAGTCACTTTGTCACCCCCAAAGTTCTGTGGCATCATAGCTCACAGCAACCACAAACTCTTCAGCTCAAACAATTCTCTTGCCTCAGCCTCCAGAGTAGCTGGGACTATAGGTGCCCACCACAATGCCCTATTTTTAGAAACAGGATCTCGCCCTTGCTCAGGCTGGTCTTAAACCTCTGAGCTCAGGTGATCTGCCTGCCAGAGTGCTGGAATTATAGGCGTGAACCACCTTGAAGGCCTGGCCTTTCAAGCAATACTCCTTTTTTTTTTTTTTTTTTTT